GTTAGAACAGTATTCTTGTGTTGAAGGAGGGCTTGAGCAGAGGTCCAAAGTCCATTCACTTCCTCAATGTATTGCCATATATGTACATAGACCAATACCTCTATTTTTATGAATTAATATATTTACATAAGTCCACATCCATGTTTATACCTCTATCCATAGCTTTGCTTCCTAGATCTTTCCTGTTTCTTTTTACCTTCCTCTTGAAAGTTGGCTTGCTTTTATGCTATTTGAATGATCAACTAGAGAAAGAAAAAAACTGATTATGAAGAAGAGGGATGGAATGCTAGACTAAGTAAGAACTAGAATAATAAAAATGGAATGGTTGACATCAGCTAGGAGCAGACAGTTTATCCCTTGAATAGGAGGGAGGGAAAACAGAGTATTTGGGCACAGATGCAGGTAAATGAGTAGATATGGTAGTTGGCACATGTGAAAATTTCTTCTGATTAATTCTACTTTTTAAAAAAATTCTATCTTCTTAATGAAGTAGGAAGCAAGGACATCAACTGAAAGAGAAAACCAAGTAAGAAATACTGGAAGTGTAAGGAAAAGAGAGGCATGAAATAGAGGCCTACAAATGTGGGAGTGAATGTGCTAAAAATGTAGCTTGACTTGTTCATCTTCGTGTCTGGACAGACTCACACAGCCCTGAACAAGACTTGTACATGTTTCAAAGAAAAAACCCAACCACTATCAGGTCACTATGAGTCAGCATTAACTCTATGGCAGTATCTATGGTTAGAAAACTAATACATAATTTAATTATTTCTATAGAATATATCCTCTGCCTTGGTGGAGACAAAAGCTTACTACCACTATCTATACATGGTTTTCATGTAATGTAACACATAGAACCAATGATCTTTGTTTCTGAATGTCTAAAGCAATGTTAATCAAATCATGTAAATTATCTTCTGAGGTAAAGTTTGAGAACCATTAGGTTTTCATGAAGAAATCCTGGTGGCACAGTGGTTAAGCACTTGGCTGCCAACCAAACAAATGGCTGACAGTTTGACAAGTGACTTCAGTCTGCTTCCCTAAACATTACAGCTTTGGAAACCCTCTGGTGTGGCTCTGCTTTGTCCTGTAGGGTCACTTTGAGTTGGAATTGAGTCAATGGCAATGGGTGGTGGTGGTATTTTTGGTTTTTTTTGGAGGGGGAGGGGCTGAGTTGGATTTTCATGAATATAAATAAAGAAGTTAACATGGAGGAGGTTTTGTTTTTTAATTTAAAAAAGGTCAGTGACCAAGGCATTTAACATACTGGCTGATCATGTCACAGGAAACAATGAAACCAATATAAATATTCTAATTATGCTTAGGTTTCTTTTCAGGAATTTGTTGTTATAAGGCATTTGAAACAAAAACCAAATTTTGAAAAATGCAACTAATAAAATACAAGAGAAGGAAAAATGCACACAAACAAGGACACAGAAATTTCAAAAGAAGGAGGAAAAAGGAAGAGACCGCATATACTCTGACTTTAAGAGTAGGATCTACAATGAAGACAAATACTAGGTATGATTTGTTATAGAGGATAAAATTTGGGAACTCTAAAATAAAATGTAAATATAAGTATATTGACTTAAGAGTGGTGTTGTAAATCTCATGAAATGTTTTAACTCTTGAGAATTAGATGGAAACAGTATAACCATATTAATATTAATAACAATTATAAAAACATATGCATTTTGAATATATTTGGCAGAATATTAACAGGATAAACTAGAACAGATATTGAAATACTTTTGGTGATTTGAAAAATTTATTTTATTGGGGGCTCTCACAGTGCTTATAACACTCCATACATCTATTGTATCAAGCATACTTGTACATATGTTGCCATCATCATTTATTTTGGGTGATTTTTATACCACCAGAAATGGTTAGACCAAAGACAAAGATGAGAGTGGTGGCCTTTTGATAGCTCAGAGAGGTAATAAACTTGAATGCCTATAGTGTATAGGCTGTTAAAATTTTAAAAAAATGAGTGAAGTAGCTGAGTGTAAGGGACAATATTGCATTGAATAGGCAACCAAAAGGGACAGCTGCTACTCAGCTCAAGCCACGGATTCTGAAAAGATTTGTGTGTGTGTGTGTGTGTGTGTGAAAACTCTTAATATTTAAAATATTGTCAACAAATTCAAATCTGTAAACTGTGTAGGTCAAACAGTATCCTCTGCATTATTAAGACACTTGTCCATGCATTAGAATTAAGGGAGACCTGAAAAAAGCAGATGTCAGCACTGTTAAGTGAGAAAATCACATAGAGCAGATGAAAGAATGTGTACCAAGTTTCAGACAACTTTGGTTTCCGGGCAGGCTCTGCCATTTACAGTTGGGTGACCTCTTTGAACTTCAATTTATTCATCTGTAAAATGAACTTTCATGAACTATCCTAACTTGCTGAGCTGTTATTCGAGTCGCCAAAGCACATCATCAACTATAAAGCAGTACATAAATACAAGTAAATGGCTTTTTAAAAAGATGTAATTGTGTAGCCTAGTAACATTTTTATATCTTTATGTGGAGACAGTTACCTCATGAAATGGGAATATAGATTACTAAGTTCACGGGGTTCCTCAAATACATTAAAATCATAAAATCCTTTTTAAATGTTAAGTGCCATGCACACAATACTTGGTAATACAGTATTTGCCTTGCATGGCCGCCAGATTCACTAATGACGCCACATATAATAATCTCTTTGGAAGTTGAGTATATTATTGGTTCACCTAAAGTAGTGAGCAATTTAATGTAACGAGTTTGGAAAAAGTTGTTCCAGGTCCTCAATTTCTTTCTCCTTCTCTTTTAAAACGTGAAGCTTATAATGGATTTATAAATAAAACCAGCTACAAACCCAGGTTTATCCATTCCCAACTGTTCAGCTTCTGGAGGCACTGGTCCCTTAAGAGGTGATGACGGAGGGAAGAAAGAAGTGGGAGGACCAGTAGACAGTTTGGGGAAAAGAGGAAGCAGTCCTCCTGGGCACCTTTTGTATTCAGAATCAGGGTTAGTAATTCCTCCAATGACCTGCTCTGATGCAAAAGTGTTTGATGGAAATGTTTTTGATAACTGTTGTTCTCTTTACCTTGGATCAATAAAGTACACATGATACGAAGCCAAAATTTATGAGGAACTGTACTAGGTTAAAAACTTCCTATCATACATGGCACTCTATGAGATGTTTCACTTTTAGTATTCATTCAACCACAATTAACCCTGCAAACTTAACAAACATTGTCTTTTCCACCTATTTCTTAAAGATTAAAGTGGAGGTGAGGTGAATGACAGTACTTGAAAGATTTTAAAAGTTCCATATGAAACTCTTTAAATGCCCATTTGCAATGCTTCCACATTATCTGTGTTCAAGCACTGTCAACCCATTTAAATTAAAAATTGTATGTCAGAATAAAATTACCCTGCCATGAAAAGAATTTTCCCAAAGATGGTTCCTGGATGCCATTATGGGATCACAGCCAGGTCTTTTAAGGAAACCTTGTGGAAGTCAAGCTTAGTAGTAGGATTCAAGTGTCTCCAAGTAAAATCATATTAATTGGAACCACTGAAAAGAGATGCACCTTTTTATCTGTAATCAAGAAAAAGGTAAGCTGACTAGACGTAAAATACAAAGTTGAATTACCACTTTTTAAAAGACAGTATGAGTGAGCTTCAAGGAAGCTGAAAGTAGATATTAAAATCCAGTCAGTCAGAAGACAACTGAATTGTATAAATATTGGAGTGATGTGTTGTTATTTCAAAAAATTCCACTTGGGAAAGAATAAAATGATTTTAAAAACAACAACAACAACAACAAAAGCAATTCAATATAAAACTTTGGGGGAAAAAAGTTTCTTTAACAATTATAGTGTTTAACTATAATGGTGTAAAAGTCTGTAAGATTAATTCTTTTAGATATAGAGCCCAAATTCTAAGGATATGTTAATTTAACTATAACCCAAAATGTCTACTAAATTTTTAACTTTTACATGTGTGGGTACATTGTTTGAATTTTTATTTCAGTTGATAGCAACCATTAACCCATTCAAATTCTTCTAAAAAGTTTTTACATTGGTTTAAAAGTAGAGTAATATACTGTGAAAACTAGTTATAGCCAGAAATTTGAGAAAGAAAACTATATTCTTTAAAGCAAATTTCCAAAATAACAAACCTTACCCAGTAAAGAAATTTTATATCCACACAAATTTTAGTAATTTATACTGTTATTCAATGAGTTTTCTCTTACACAGTCTAAACTACTATAAAGCCCTCCTTAAAACTGAAAGAAAATATACCAGTACTTAGCACACAAAAACTGTTAGAAATATATCTATTTGTGAACAATCATCTATATATTCTAAATTCTAAGATCTGAACATTAAGTAGTCATTACCTAAAATCCATTTGCAAAAGGAACATTTCACATGATAAATATTTGGTGGGCTTAAAATTAATATTTTTCTTAGATTAGCAACCCAAGTTAACAATCATAGCAGGATCTTGAAAAATAGGTTTATGTAATTTAATTTACGTCACCAGAAAATTAACTTAGATTTTGAAAAGGTAATAACATTAAATGCAAAGTTTGGTATACACTTAATTTTCATTTGAATTTAGTATTTCTTCCCATTTCTCTGTCAAAATTAGACACTAAGTAATATCCACTTGTTAAAAATTCACCTAAAATGTTAATATAAGCAGTTTTGCAAGACCAGCTGAAAATTATTTTAATACCTAAAGCTTGAAGAGATCATTCTTTTCACCTATCTGATTCATTTATTGTACTTTCCTAGAATCACCAGCCAGCTTTAGAACCAAAAGAACACAACTTATACCATAGATGTTAACTTTTCAATTAATTTCCATATAGTTAAATCAGTTCCTGTATTATAAAGAAATCACAGCTGTATTTCTTTTGCTTTGTTTTCTAATATGTCAGTGCTATACTAGGGGTGTAACTCCTTATAAAGCAAACACAAATGTGGCATCAAACTTACTTTTGCAAAGAAGCCTTTGAAGAACTTCCTTTCCTGGAGGAACAGGGGGACAAGTCGAGCGCTATTATTGTACGGGCTACATGTCCCAGGATTTCACACCAATAAGCACATACAGAAGTTGGGGAAGGGGAGGAGGTGAGAGTTTTAAAGAGTTATCCATACCAGGAGTGACAGAGGAAAACGGAAGGGTGCATGAAAACTTAAGAAGTAACACTGTATGACCTAAGAAGCCATGGAAAGAGTGAGCAAAAATCAGAACCTGTCACCATGCAGCGCAACTAGTTAGTTTAGTAGTCCCGATATTTCCGTTTCAAAATCAACATTACCCAAATTTGACAGCAGAGTAAAATATTAGGATGGACTTCCTGGTTTGGGGAGATTTACATTTTAGATTTTATAATTGAGAGTGATCAACAGTGAGGTTTCAACTTAAAAATCAGTGGTCAGCTACTGTGGAGGTTGACAATTAAGAAACCAGTCCACGTTCAGACTGACCACACAACTCTATTAAGAAAAAACACCAACACATAACTTTCAATTATGAGTGTGCATCAAGAATTCTTGTTACACAGTTTACTTGGTAAACCCTAGACATGAGGAATAGAATCTGCCATACTAGTTAAGGGGAGCCTGACCAATGGCTTTCCAATTTGTATTTATGTGTGTGTACATAAAAAATACAGGATTCATGCGGGAGGGGGGAGCGGGGAGGGAGGGGAAAAATGAGGACCTAATGTCGGGGGTTTAAATGGAGAGAAAATGTTTTGAGA